CCCAGACGCAGCACCCCCAGGCTCAGCACCCCTAGCAGGACGGGAGCCAACAGCTACCTCAACAGGCTCAACCGGGTCTACCTGGGACACACCTGAGGGAGCGGCACCCTGAGGGGGGAGGGGGTCTGGTACCTCAGCACCTGGAGCGAGGAAGAGAGGCGGGGGGGGGAGCGGGGCAGTGCGGTAGGGGAAGAGGCGGTAGTAGGGGACGGACTCGTCAAAAGTGACGTCCTGAGAGGCCAGGACACGACGCGAGGTGGGGTGGTAGAACTGCCAGCCAGGGGCGTCCGGGACAAAGCCAAGGAAGACGCAGGGGACAGCGCGACGGGAGAGCTTGTCCGCGGACGTGTCGCGGACAAAAGCTTGGGATCCCCAGACCCGAAAACGCGACGCATCACCAACCTCTCCCGTCCAACGCAGTGTCGGAGAAGTCTCGGGCAAGGAGACACGGGGCCAGAGGTTGAGCTGATGCGCAGCGTATCGGACTGCAAACGGCCACAGAAAATGGGGGGCAGCCGCATGGCTCAAGGAGGTACGAGCGACCTCCATGACCAGACCAATGCGGCGCTCAGCAACCCCATTCTGCTGTGGAGAGGCCGGAAGCGTGTACGACTGCTCAATGCCCTCCTGCTGACAGAAGGCCTCCAAGAGGCCAGAGGTAAACTCCCCACCTCTGTCAGAGTGCAGACGCAGGACAGGGAAGTCGGAGCGGAAACGCTCACTGAGCTGGAGACGAGATCTGCGGATCCAGGGGATCAATACATCAGGGACGTCACCCTTGGCGCGCAAGGGGAAGACCGTGGTGAAGCGCGAAAAGTCGTCAACAACAATCAGGAAGTACCTCTCCTGACCCTGTCCCCGGACGCGGGCTGGGCCCCACACGTCCAAGTGGAGCGTCTGCAAAGGAGCAGTCGTCGGGGGAAAGGAGGAGGAGTGAGGAGCGGCGCGCTGCCGCCCCTCGACACAGGGAATACAGGGAGGAGCAGGCGAGTCTGGAAGGGGAGGGAGTACCCTGGGAAGACCAGCAACAAGGTCCCGTTTGTGCATGGCCCGAAGGCGCTGCACAGACGGGTGACCAAGGCGGTGGTGCCAGAGGACAGTCTCATGCGCCAGAGAGCGACACGAGCAGGGGGCGGACAGCTGACCTGACGCAGACGCAGACGCGGACGCAGCTACCTGAGGGGACTCAGTGGTCAGTGTGTAAAGGTCCGACCCCGGCTCCCGAGTGAAGGTAGCCAGGTGGCGACCCGTCCGAGCACACGTGCAGTGGGTCACGCGCTTGTAGGCAGGGGTGAACTGGTGAACACCCCCGTCCTGGAGCGCACTACCTGCCACCAAGTTCGTAGAGAACGAGGGGAGGTAGAGACCTGACAGCGTGCCGGACGGGACCGCCGGACAAGGAAGGACAGTGGAGGAGGTCGCAATGACCGGACCCCCAGAGGGGTCAGCAAGGGAGACAGCAACTGGCCGAGCGAGTGGCTCAAGGACAGTGCGGTCACGAAAGAAGGAGCGAGAAGCACCTGAGTCCAGTGTGAAGGTGTGCAGTGCTGCAGTCGACTCAGTACCAGCGGGCACGGACGCACTAGCACCTAGGGCTGCAGCCTCACCAGGACCTGTGGGAGCAGACACACTAGCACCTAGAGCGGCAGCCGGACTGGCCTGAATGCCCGGGTCGGGCGGAACACGCAAGTACTGAGCACCCTCTCCACTAATAGACATCGCATACATGGCAGTGAGAATAGCATCAAAGTCTAAAGCCCAAATATCAACACCCCTCTTTTCCAGATCAGCCCAGCGCGGCAGCTCAGTGGCAGCAGGAAACTGAGTGCGCCACGCGTCGGTAAGGCGCGCGAAGCAGCGCTGCGTGGGGTGCGGCCTCCCACACTGCTGGCCGCTGCAGTCACCTGTGCGAATGACGTACGTGCAGGTAAAGCCACGCTGCGCATACCACTCACGGGCGGCCTGAAGCGTCGGGGCGGGCTGCTGACTCTGCCCTCCGCCAGTGCCTCCACGACCACCACCCCCACCGCCGCCGCCCCGGCCACCTCCACCCCTGCCGCCGCCACGACCACCTCCGCCTCCGCTGCCGCCTCCGCCACCACTCCCACCGCTGCTGTCTCCTCCCCCACTGCCGCCACTAGTCTCCCCAGCCGCGCCTCCACTCCCACCGCCTCCACCCCCACCTCCTCCGCCGCCACCCCCACCCCTGCCCCCTTTGTTCCTGCGGCGCCCGCTCGAAGCAGACGCGGTCCCGACCTTCTCAGCACCAAGAAGGTCGACAGCAGCAGCAGAGGCGACAGAGGGGAGGAGGGGGGAAGGGGAACACCCCTCAAAGAACGGGGTGCGGGGGTCGCCACGAGAGGTGCCTACAGCGACGATGCTCGCCTCAGCTGCAAGCAGTTCCTTCTCGAGGAGGGCAACAGTGAGCTCAGTGGGGGAGCGAGAGAGGAAGTGGTCCCTGACTGCGCGCAGAGAGTCAGGGAGGCGGGTGACGATGTGGTAGAGAGTGATCCAGAGCGGGGGGGGGGTTGCTAGTGAGAAACTCGGCAGGCATAGCAGCGCGAAAGCGGGCCTCACTAGTCTTAAGGTGGGTGATGAGGTCTGCGACAGTGTGAAAGGAGGCTAGGTCGGGGAACAGGTAGGGGAGAGTGAGGCGGCCTAGCGTGGCAGAAGCGGGTGAGGAGTAGCGGGCAACTACAGCGGTGTAGAGGTCCTTAGCAGTCTTGCACTGGCCGAAGTGCTCGCGCTCGTCTAGCGGCAGGGAGTTGCGAATAGCAAAGCGAGCGTGCGCATCACGGGTCTGCCACTGGGAACGCAGAGTGCTGTCAGCAGACGAGTCAGGGGCAGTGGCATGGCCTAGGGCATGGTCGTACAGTGAGATATCTTCCTTGGCAGTGAGCTGTAGGAACAGGTGCAGGTCATCTAGCCAGGTTTCGAACTTCACTGGGCGGCCCTCGGCATCGAAAGCTAGAACGGGAGGACTAGCCATAGTGACAGTAGCAGTAGTAGGAGAAACAGTAGCGGTAGCAGTAGTAGCAGTAGGAACAAGGCCGCTGGAAAGGTGTGCGCAGGGTCAACGGGGCCGGCGTGGTGCACGAGCGGCAGTAGTAGGGAGCGCGACAGCAGGAGCTGCAGCGGTGCGCGACCGAAGGGCAGGAGCTGCGGCGCACTAGCGGTAGCGGGCGACTCACGGGCGGCGGCTGCAGAGGCGCACGGGCGGCAGCGGCTTATACGCACGGGCAGCAGCGCCGACAGCGCACGGGCGGCTGCAGCAGCGAGCGGTGCGCACGCAGCAGCGCACGGGTGGCAGCGGCGTCGGTGCACGGGCGGCAGCGGCGTCGGCGGACGGGCGGCTGCGGGCAACGGGCGTGCGGCAGCTGCGGCGGCGAGCTGCGGGCCTGCGGGGCCACGGCGGGGTGTGCGCGAGCGGGCGACGGGCGGCTGCAGCAGCGGGCGCGTCAGCGAGGCGCACAGGCAGCGCGCGGGCAGCGTGCGGGGCCGCGCGTAAAGAAAACAGCCGCGCGCGTGCGGCTAGCGGGGCGCGCGCAGCGAAATCGACCGCGCGCGGGCGGCTAGCGGGATACGCGCGCTAAAAAAAAGTCGAGTCGCGCGCGGGCGGCTGGCGGGCTGCGCGCGCGCGGTAGGTAGGAGGCGCACGAGGGCGCGTAGGCGCACGAGGCGCACGGTAGGTAGGTAGGTATGTAGGTAACGGTGGGCCCTAAGAACGGTCCTAGCGAAGGACCTGCTCTGAAACCATGTCAGAAATAACGGACTGGAATGATGGACTAGCAAGGATTGTGAGTACAAATATGAAACCCTAATGTTGTGACCCCCCTATAGGCTAACCCACTACAGCCTACACAAATACAACATGTATAATGTTTGACATTACTTTCCCAATACCTTCTGCCACGTAAGATTAGGTCGTGTTCACTTTCCACATCATGCGGTGAGTATGGCACACACTGCACGTGGAATTGGCCGCAACTGCAAAGTTGCGGACATTTTCACATCCCTGACACTTACGACAAGCGTGCCACCCGCCCCCGCCAACGTGAAATTGGCGAGGGCGCGGTGTAGCAGCCTCTCGAGTCACTAGACAGCCTCGCTGTCTAGTGACTCTGACTAGGTCCTTTGCTACTGCCTAGGTTGTTTGGTACTATGACTAGATTTGCTGGTAGGATTACAGTAGGTTGACTTTTAACAGGAAATGTTTTTTCGTCTTAGTTGTCAGACTAGAAAAAATATTCCAGCTTATAATGCAGACCACGGAAGTTTCGTCGTCCGAGCATAAGACGGGGGAATTTTTTTTCAGGGTACTGTCAGACAGCCCCAAAACCTAGCGAGAGCCCTGGGTGTGTCAGGATGTTATGCTGTGTAGGCTGTAGTGGGGCACTCAACAGTGAGTACAACCCATTTGGGGTTTGCTATTTGTACTCCACCTGCCTGGTAGTGAAACCCCTCTTCTTCTGTTATCATTCTAGCTTCTAGTTCTGGAAAAAGAATCAACACGTTGTGATATCCTGGCGCTAATTTTTTTTTTTTTGCCTTTATTGAAATGTTACAAGTGAGATTAACATTTTGATGCTACTGTATAAAACCAATTTACCGTACCGTATGTGTATCTGTCACTATGTAAGCGCATGAGCTTAGTTCATAAACAGATACATTAATGATTATATACTCTTATTAGAATATATAATTCTTGTACTTTCCCACACTCAGCCATGGGTTTTTGCACACTATAGCAGGTGTACCGAGCAGGTGACAAAACCCCCCAAAAAAATGCCTAGGAGTGTTTTCACACACCTTGACTATTCCTGTTTTCACACTCCAGCATAAATTGAAATGTCAGCCCTGGTGGTACCCCCGCAACCCCCCATAAGAGACCCCAGGGACTCTTACTAAAGGATCCTGTATACCCGTTAGAAGACTGTACACGGGAGGTGCTCTACCCTAGTCCTCTTCAAGAATCACCAAGCATCACCATTCACTGTCGTTCAGAGTGGAGTAACCGGAGTAGAAGCGAAGCGGCCATTTGTGTTCTTGAGCTCGTTGATGAGCCGGTTCCAGTTGGACGCCAGCACGCCCACAAAGTAGTCACACTCCGATGCAATGAGCAGGTTGGCAAAGCTGCTTCCCACCGTTTGCTCCAGGCCCGAGTCCCGTATGTACTTGGACATCACCTCGTTTGAGCCCTGGCGGTGAATCTTGGAGTAAAAGAATGTCCACCCGGTGAACTGAGCGGACTTCTTCACCGCACTCTGTAAGGCCCGAACAGACATGGGGGAGGAGCAGTGGAGGAGTGCAGGGTATGTTGGTGGTGTGTGAAGGGGAGCCGTTGTGTGGGAATGGGGTGAGGGGCAGTGAACATCCTTGCGAGCGTGCAAGGCAGGAGTGTGCATTGGCAAGGGAGTGCTTGTTGAAACGAGGTGCACAATTGAATGGAGCAGAAGGAATAGTGCAAGCATGAGCGTGACAGGAAGTAGGTTAGAAACGGAAGGCAAACGGCAAAGCAACGCACAGTGTGCAGTTCCCACAGCTCCCCGCCCGTTGTGACACTGGGCCTCTGGCATACTCTGCTTGCGCCCTCCATCCCTTCCACTTGGAACCATGCAGCAGTTTCACCCCCATTGCTCCTCACTCACTGCTCTCACCCTCTCCCCTCACCATCCATCTCCTCCCTTTCAGCTCACTGTGTGTGTTATCCCCCACCTCCATCTCGGTGCTGAGCCACACGTATCGCAGGAAGGGGTTGAGGCGGCGCACGCGGTTGGCGAGGAACATCGTGGAGTAGAAGGAGAAGAGATGCATCTGGGTCGCCTTGTCGCCTTGACGCAGGTGCAGGCTCACTATGGGCCGTGGAATGTACACCTCTCCCCCCACCTGCTTGTACGTCTCCAGGAATGGGTTCGCTTCCTCGCTCTTGCTGCTGTTGCCACTGCTGCCGTTTTCACTGTCACTGCTCGTGGCAGCAGCATCCCAGCTGCAGCCCTGGAAGCCATCTCCTTGCCAAGCGCTGTCCGCTGCACCACCTGGGGGCACCTCCGGCAGGGGCAGCTGGGCCAGCCCCTCAGAGGAGGCCGATGTGTTGAGAGTTCTTGATGCGTTGGAGAGAGCAGCGCGCTGCAGCATCTGCGCTTGCTCTTGCTGCGACGCCACCAGCTGCCGTGCCACCTCCATGCCATACACATGGTGGCGCTCTCGGTTGGTAAGGTGGCACATGTATGCCGTGGGCCAGCGCAGCATGAAGCGCAGCGCCTGAGACCTCCACCAGTGCACCTGGAGGGGCGGTTGGAGTGCTCCGTGGTGAGTGGTTGCCACGTGTAGGTCGCATGAGGGATGGGAGGAGATTGACGGCCGGTGGAGAGGGCGTGGAGTCAAGCAAGTTCAAAAGAGAGGAAACTAAAGGGAGTGTATGGAGTGAGGTGATGGTGCTAGTGGGGAGAGCAATCCACACAATGAAGTGCAATCAGCGACTAGTACCGCTGCATGCCAGACACAAAGGGCTGATGTGCAGAGAGCAAGTGGGCAAAACAACGAGAGGAACGAAGGAAGAGAAACCAGAACGGTTGGAACAGTGGAGGACCCAGAAGCTGCGGGCGAGAGAGAAAGCGTGTGTGAGTTGCATGAGTGAGTGAGAGAGTGTGGGAGCGAGGTGTTGAAATGAGGTTGTGTGGAGGACCTGTCTGCGAGAGGGGGTGTTAGGCGCCATGGCATCCATCAACTCGTTGGGCAGGCGCCGCTTCAGAAACACATTGCTGCCCCACACCCTGCACACGGTTACGGGGGTTGCGGCCTTGCAATTGAACTTGTTGAGCAACGAGGCAAGGAGGAATCGGACAGCGAGGAGGTGAAATATGGTGCATGGCGAGAAGCAGCGGCGGGTGGAATGGAAGGGGCAGATGATGAGAGCAATGCTGAGAACCACCACACAGCAACCCTTCTCCATCCACTTGACAACCTGCACTTTCTTCGCTCTACAGTGCTGCCTCAGTCACTGCCCTTGGGAAGCAGCAGAGCAGCGCAGCAGCACAGCACTGACCTGGGAGCTTTGCGGTGGAGGTAACGGATGACGTCAGAATTGATGTCCGCGCCCAGCCCGGTCAGTGGGGAGAACAACACTGCCGCATCGCTTGCCAAGCATGCCTCCTCATAGCACGGTACTGCTGCTTCCGCTGCTGCTTCTGCTCCTGGTGCTGCTGCCCCTGCTGTTTCTGCTCCTGGTGCTGCTGCCCCTGCTGCTTCTGCTCCTGGTGCTGCTGCCCCTGCTGCTTCTGCTCCTGGTGCTGCTGCCCCTGCTGCTTCTGCTCCTGGTGCTGCTGCCCCTGCTGCTTCTGCTCCTGGTGCTGCTGCCCCTGCTGCTTCTGCTCCTGGTGCTGCTGCCCCTGCTGCTTCTGCTCCTGGTGCTGCTGCCCCTGCTGCTTCTGCTCCTGGTGCTGCTGCCCCTGCTGCTTCTGCTCCTGGTGCTGCTGCCCCTGCTGCTTCTGCTCCTGGTGCTGCTGCCCCTGCCTCGTCTAACGCTGCCTTGCTTGCGTTGTGTGCAGCCTGCCACGCACTGTGCGCTTCCACAGCGATGGCCTCACACTCACGTGACGCCACGGGGAAGAAGTAGCAGTCTAGCGACCCCTTGGCCCCCAGACCTGTGCACGACAAGCAGTTATAGGTTGGAAGGGAACGCACAAGATGTGATGCTAACAAACCAAGGAAAGGAATGCTAACGAGCGAAAAAATCAAATCCCATACACTGATTCCACCAACCCGCAAGCTATTTTCTCTCAAGAATCCACCCACAAGCACCACTTTCTTTGGAATAAGCAAACCCCATTCTGGCACCATGCCATGCCCCCATCGCCGCGCACACTTACGCTCACAGGCAGCGTGGTCGGCATGAGCAAAGGACCCAGGCATGAGCACGAGGGTGCGGTTGAACATGATGGCGATGCTCAGCACGGCACCCAGCACGTGCAGCTGTGACCCCACGCCGTGCCCCCGCATCAACAACCACGGCACCAGCAGCAAGCGCCGCCCGCGGCAGTTGTGGCGCGGGAACTGGTGCAGCCAGATGTCCGTCTGCACGAGCCGCGTCGCCGTCAGCAGCGCTGCGTCTGGGCCTCGCACCTGGTGGAACACAGTGGAACACGGTGGGACATGGTGGGACATGGTGGGACATGGTGGGACATGGTGGGGGGGGTGGGCGGAGATGGGGATGGGTGAGTGGCCTCCGCCATGCGTTTACCATGTCATGGGACAGCAGGCGGGTGTGTGCACAGCAGGCGGGTGTATGCACAGCCGGCGGGTGTGTGCGTGGGGGGGGAGCATCACGTGTGGAAGTGCTCCCGTTGCTTACATGAAAAGCTAATCATGCTCCTCTTCTGTGATAACACCCACGGCTGTAGCAAGGCGCACTCACCCAGGGCGGCTGTGGCACATGGCTGCAGCGCGCATGGGGAACGGCCCATGCAGGGTCCTCTGAGGGGGAGGAGCGGCGCTCTGAGGCGAGGCGGAAGGCAGTGCGGCGCGCGCAGTGCTCCAGGTGCGGGGGGAACGGCACGCCTGCGGGGAGCGTGATGTTGGCAGGCGGGTCGCGGTTGCCGTCTTGCAAGGCGAACGCGGTGTCCCAGTGCTGCACGGGCGCACGAGGGGGAAGACACGAGAGTCACTACGCGCAAGGTGATGTGGTGGTGGGAGGAGACGTCATTCGCACTCGGCTGGCGCTCGAGACGATTAACGTGCCTGCTACGGACATCGACGCTCGTGCGTTTGAACGGACTCGCCATCATTTGTGACTTTGAACCGGTCATCGCGCTACCGTCGCGAATACCTGGTACAGTTCTTGAGCTTTTATCGACAGCGGGTCATCTTCTAGCGAGGCGTTGCCCAGCGCCGCCGTTGCCTTGGCCAGAAGCGCAAATAGCGCGTTCGACGTGGCTACAGCCCCCCGGTACCACTCTCGTGCCGCCTTCCGCGCGGACCGCGGGGCCGGTGGCGGGGCGGAGCGCAATGCGGGCGCGGGTGCCTGGCGTGCCACCACCATGTCGCCAGCGGTGCCTTCTCGACGCGCGGGCTCATAACAAAAACTGCCAGAAGGGGGTTGTGGTGTGCAAAACCTGACATACCCCAGAATACACCCTCATTCTCGGCCTCCGCACAATCGGGAGCAGCGTCTACAGTGCTGTCTGTTGCGACACTGTGCAAGTAACCAAACAGACTCAGGGCGCGTCCCCTCCCTCGATCGAACCTGCCCTCGATCGATCGAGGGATAGCTACAGTGTCGCAATTGACAAGCTAACCTGATTTCGAGAGAGCTTGCGAATATACAGTAACTGGTGGAAAACGATCTTGTCACTTCTGCTGATGACGATCGATGTGCCCTCGTTGCCACACCGATCTCAGCTTCAGTAGGATCGAGGGTTTTTTGCCCCTAGTATTCTCGATCCTGTCACCCTGGGCTCGAGATCGATCCGCTGTTGTCATCACCTACCAATCCCGTCCCAATCCTGCGATCGATGTGCTCGATCGGTTTTTCACAGCGATCGCGCGATCGATCGAGGGAGGGGACGCGCCCTCATCACATCAGGCTAGGTAGAAAGGGGTAACGCATGGTCAACATTTCCTAGTCGGTCAAAGTCAACACCAAGCAAGCACTCTCTAAGGATTTACAAATCCTTATTCAGGATTTACGAACGAGGTTAGATGTTGATTGCATGCTATAAAACTAGTTGCTTTGTATTGCATGTTTCATACTGAAAACTTTAATCATCTTCTACATGGTGAATTCTAAGTGCAAATCTAGAGAGCTCCTATCTTTGAGTCTAAGAGCACAAGCAAGCACATAAACGCCTCTATCTCTCTCGTTACTTGGGCGATTAACGTGTTTGAAGGGCCATGATGAAGGGCCATGTACTCGGTCTCACACGAGGACAGCCCCACCTCGTTCTGCTTCTTGCTGCGCCAGCTCACTGCACCTCCTCCAAAGAGGCACACATAGCCTCCAATGCTGGTGCCATCCTCCTTCACAGAGTTGAAGCTAGCGTCGGTGTAGCAGGTCAAGAGCATCTCCCCCTTGCTCAAATCAGCAGCACCCCGCTGCTGCCTTTGCCTCACAGCACTGTACTCCAAGCCCACTGATGCCGTTGCACTCACATAGCGGACCAACCTCTTGGCCGCTTCCAGCTGCTCATGACTGGGACGTGAAACCACACTTGCAAGCCGTGATGTTGCAAATGCAATATCAGGCCGGGTGTGATTTGCCGCGTAGTTCAGCGCCCCAACTTCCTCTCACTCTCTCCCACCACCTCCTCATCAGCACAGGGCTCCACCGTGAACCTCGAAGGCAGTGGGGTTGCTGGCTTTCCTCCATCTTGCAGCCCATACTTCTCAGCCAGCCCCTCACAGTACTTCCTCTGGTGCAACCTCAACACTCCCTTGTCAAGGTCTCTCTCCACATGCATCCCCAGGTAGTACTTCACATCTCCCATCTTCGAGCACTTGAACTGCATCTCCAGCATCTCCTCCACACGTTCAATCATTGCAGACGACTCGGAGAAAAGCAGGATGTCGTCCACATACACCAGGAGCATGAGAAACTGCTCCTTCTCTTGCAGCAGGAACAGGCTGTGATCACACTCGCTCTTCTTGAACCCCCCAGCCAGCAGTGTCTCCTCTAGCTTGTGGTACCATGCGCGAGGAGCCTGCTTCAGGCCATAGATGGCCTTCTTCAGCCTGCACACCCTGCCGCTCCCATCATCCAACCCCTCAGGCTGCAGCATGTACAGCTCCTCCAAGATGATCCCGTTGAGGAAGGCAGTAATAATGTCCATCTGCTTGATCCTCCATCCACGGTTTGCAGCCATCGACAATTGCGGAGAATTCTAGTCTATGGGAGAGCTTGACTAGCGTGGGACACACGGTCAGAGTTCTGGCAGTGATTCTCAGGAGTGAACTTAGTTGCCTTGGTAGAATTCAAGCATAGTTCCACCAGCAAAAGTTGATAGAACAAGATTATGGTACAAGCAAGGAGAACCAAATAGGAAAGACAACGAACCCTGTAGAAACGTTCCTCGACAAGCACCTGAATCTGTCGAGTCAGCAACGGCAGGTGAAACGACAAACACATGCAGATTTCACCTGAGTTGGTAGTTTCTCAGGTTTACAACGTTCATAGTTGTGCACGTTTTTACTGTTAGTAAAAACGTGTTTCAGGTTCTGTTTCCTTACTTATTCGAAATCTCCTGGGGAGTGCAATTTCCGAAATGCTCTGATTGGTCGAAATTTGTTGTTTCCTGATTGGGCGAAATTCACGCACATTGCGAATTTTGGAGCTAAGTAATTCTGGTCGACCAGAATCGCTCTGCTCGACGAAACACTTGTCGAACTAAATTCTGTCGACCACCAGTCCGTCGAACACCAATTCTGCCAATTCCGTCCATCAGAAAGGCTCGTGTTCGACACCGTTTTACTCCCGACGATGAGCTCTTCGTAGACGAGGACTTTGATCGAGCAGAGGAAACACTTCTACCTCGACCAAATAATCTCGTCGAGAAACGACTCGTCGCACACAGATAAAAGTCCCCGAAGTCGCCGATGATCATGAAACGAACACCGTTCTGTTCCGAAATTCCTGGTCGACTTCGCCCAAGCGAGGGCGGGGCCTTTTCTCTTCGACACTCCCCTGCCCAGTTTAAGCTTGGGCACCCACACTAGAGGTCCACCCAAAACCCAGAGGGATAGAGTACAAGGAGAAAATCCGTCTGCGTGCAGCCATCACATAGCACGCATGTCACCGCACCAGCCGTGCAGAAGGGCACGGCACCTACTGCTGCACCTCGTCATCCCCGTCGCCCACATCGGCCATACGCACTTCGACGATTGCGACGGAGCACCGGTTGAAAGCCGGAAAATGCAGCGCCTTCGTCAGAAAATCTGCCGGCTGCTCGGAGGTCGGGATGTACTGCAGAGCAATCTTCCCGCGCTTCACCATCTGCTGCAGCCAGGCGTAGCGTCGCTCCATGTGCTTGAGGTTGCCCTTGAGCCCCAAGCCCTCTGCGACTTTGATTATCGATTGGTTGTCCACGTACAAAACAGTCGGCTTCCTTGGGTCGAGCAGGCGGAATTCTGCAAGGAGGAAGCGCAGACGGCGAGCCTCCTTGCCGGCTTCGGTGGCCGCGACGTACTCTGATTCGGTCGACGAAAGCGTTGCGCACTTGATGCGCTGGCTCGACCACGAAACTGCGGCTCCGCCGAAGATGAAAATGTAACCACCCGTGCTCGTCCGATTCTGCTTGTCGCCAGCGTCGTCGGCATCTGCATAGCCGACCAGACACAGCGACTCTGGTCCGCCGCCGAACTCCAGAGCGGCGTCACGAGTTTCAGCGAGGTAGTGCAGACAGCGATCGACCTCACGCCAGTGGTTGTCGCTCCGCACTGTCAGGCCGGATCCGAGCTTGCTGCAAGCGAAGGCAATGTCGGGCCTCGTCGTGGTGGCCGCGAACTGCAGCGACTCGACCTTCTGCCGATACTCTGCTTCCTCGCGCGACTGAAACTCCTCGTCGTCGAACACCAGCTCTGCGTAGGCGTCGACGGAGACCGGCGTCTTCGGCACTCGCCCGGTCTGCTCCTCGTCGATGAAGCATCTACGCAGCTTGTCGACGTAGACTTGCTGGTGAAGCCACAGCTTCCTCGCAGGACGGTCGCGCACGATTTCCAGCCCGAGATACTTCTCGACCGGGCTGATTTCGCGCAGCTCGAAGGCAGCCTCCAGCAGCTCCTTCAACTCCTTCAGCATCGCAGTGTTGCTGCTTGCAGCGAGCAGATCGTCGACGTAAACGAGCACCCAGCACGCCACTTCGTCGTTGCCGATTTTGAAGTACAGCGCCTCGTCGACCTGGCTCTTCTGCCAGTTGGCGCCAGTCAGCACCGCGTCGAGCGCCGAGTACCACAGCAGCGGACTCTGCTTCAGGCCGTACAAGCTCTTCAGTAGCTTGCAGACCCTGCCAGTTCCGTCGTTGTAGTAGTCGGGCTGGTACATGTAGAGGACGCGATCCAGCTTGCTCTGCAGAAACGCGTTTTTCATGTCCAGCTGCATCAGGTGCAGTTCGAGGACTGCTACGATGCTCAGGAAGATCCGCAGAGTTATGTAGCTGCTCAGGAAGATCCGCAGAGTTATGTAGCTTCCCACTGTCGCGTATGTCTCGTCGTAGTCTGCGCCGTAGACCTGCGTGAAACCTTTCACCACCGGGCGGGCCTTCTCGCGGGCGACCGTGTCGTCGACGTGGTACTTCGTCGTGAGCACCCAGCGGTTCTTCATGATGTTGACACCGCGCGGACGCTCGACCAGCTCCCACGTTCCGTTGGAGATAAGACTCTTGATCTCCTTGTCCATGGCCGATTTCACCGCCTTGCCTTTCCAGCTCGCCAACGCCTCCTTCACCGTCATGTTGGCGATGTCCCAGCGATGCTCTGGGCCAGCATGCATGTCGGGGTCGAGTTCGGGTAGATGCACGTCGGCCTCTGCATCGTCGAGCAGAGTGCTGTAGGCCGTCGGCGGCAGACAAGCGTGGTAGCTCAGCTTCTCCGGCGGCTTGCCGATGTTGGGGCGGGTAGAACGGCCCGGTTTTTCCTTTTCGACCGCGACCTCTACCACGTCGTCGTCGTCGGACTGCTCCCCTTTTCCGCCACCGGCCTTTCCGACGACTTCCACAACGTCGTCGCTCGACGAGTCGTCGTCGAACTGCTCCCCTGTCGGCAGCTCCTCTACCGACGACTCCCCCAGGATCGGCTTCTCTGCCAATGGCTCCACTACAGCTGGCGCGTCTGCCGATGGCTCCTCTGCAGTCTGCTTCGGCGCTTCTGCCAATAGCTTCTCTGCAAGTGGCACCTCTGCCGGCGGCTTCGCTGAAGTCGGCTTCGACGCCGACGGCCCCCTGTCGTCTGCCGCGTCCCGTTGCTGACCTTCTCGGCATCACGTCGGCCACCGGCGATGTAACCGGCCGGCGCCGCAGGCGACGCACCAAGGCTCCCCTCATAGACGGCGGC